TCCCATATTCACCATTTGCTCCTCAATTCCCCTTAACACACTGCCCCCCTCAAGTCCCTTCCTATTCTGGATAAGCCATTACATCATTATTGTCTGTATACATATACCCCTTCTGTGCTTCATATACTGGAAACTACCACATATCAAAGACTAAAGAAAAAAAAGAAGAAGGAAAAGGACATGAGCAATATTAAAATAAGCCAGAGCAGAAACCCCTGTCAAAAATCAAGCAAGACAGTTCAACCTAGAACAAATTCAGCATGGATCAAGAGCGAGATCAGCTGACTACATGCTCTGGTATACCTTAGTTCCATCCACCAAAGTCAAGTTTACAATCCTCTCTGCCTGATCATGTCTTTCTCAGACAGCAAACCCACACGTTCAGTGATTTATTTTCAGCTGTCTCATATGCACGTGAATGTTGGGACAGTGCATTAAGGCACACCAAATCCATGTATTTGAACTAGTGATGACAAAGAATGTTGGAAGTAATATGGACTGCCAAAAGAGCAGACAGCTGTCTTGGAAGAAGTGCAGCAAGGAGGTCAAGAGTTTGCCTCACCTACCTTGTGCATGTCATCCGGAGAGAGAGTCCCTGGTGAAGGGCAGCAGGCTTGGTAAAGTCGAGGGGCAGAGAAAAAGAGCAAGGCCCTGGATGAGGAGGACGACACAGTGGCGGCCACAGTGGACCCAAACATAAGAACCAGTGACAATGTGCGGATGGTGCAGGACAGGAAGGTGTTCTGTTCTGTTGCCCAGAGTGTTATGAGTTGGAACCAATTGAACGGCACCTAACAGTACCATACCTTATACACTTTCCTCCATTGTCAAAGGTTCTCTCTTGTGCACCACTAGCCGGCTGGCCCTTCGTTGGGTGAAATGGGCTGCCATCGTAGCAAGCCAGCAGGGCACGCGTAGCTGCCGACAGGCTGCCCTGTTGATGCTCAGCTCCTTTTTCACCCCAAACACCTTCCTTCTTTCCAAACCCAGAGAGGACGCTCTCTGTTTGTGGGTGCTTGGATACGTTATTTTCACGAGACCTCCCTGCATGAAGATTAGGGTTGGTTGCCACAGCTACTTTCTTTAAAGACATATCTGCCAAGGGGAGACACATTGTATGGACTCAATAGTACAGGTTTTAGAGATTAAAATTTTATCAAAATTCATCGAAAAGGTGTGGTACAGAAACAGTGGGGGTGGGATGAAATGGACAATGAGGTCAGGAAAGTAAGACAAGATGGACGTTCTTGGGCTTCCACCATAATGTAGCCACTTCCTAGTCAGCAGACCTGGAGAAAACCCCCTGTGCCCCTGAACTTCACAGGTAAGAGGGGCTCATCACACGGATTGTCCCAACCAGTGCTGTACGGACGTAGTGCCTGGTGAGTGGTAAGCTCAGCTCCCACCACTGACTGTTGCGAGTAGCTCGGAGCGGGTTTCCACTCGTGACTACAGAACCAAGAACTGCGTGGCCCAGCACCGTCTTCACTATTTTTTTATTGTGTGTTAATTTCTGATTTTCTTTTTTTTAAACATTTTTATTGGCACACAATTTACATATCATACAATTGAATACAGTGAACCCTCGTTTATCGCGGTTAATCGGTTCTAGACCCTACCGTGATAAATGAAATTCC